GGGGGGGGGGGGGGGGGGTTATAGTCCAGTGCCTGCGTTATTCTAAGTAAGTATCAGCTTCATTCTAAGTGCTTATCTCACATACTTAAACCCAAGTATTTTAAGTAATTTACTGACATACAGTTGAGTGTACCTACATTATCAGACAATAAAGCTGCTGTTAGTCTTGTTGTCTCTGAGTATTTTGCATTACATCAAAATAGCTCAAAACTATTAAAACGACTCATCTTCCTTAGATACTTACTACCTGTGAGAATAATTTGATAGAAGATGCTTTGTTGAAATGTGGCACTAATAGTCTTGAATAAATTCGTCCATAATATGGAGTCTCATCATGATACACCTTCTTTCTTCATCTTAGAATTTATTAAATAGGTAATATACCATTGCGTTGCACTCATGGGCAGAACTAGGGAGGGTCCTGGTCCTGGCTCTCCGCCCCTGCAAAGATGGTGCCAAATATAGTACCTAGCCAATATCACTAGTCTCCTCTAAATTGTAAACAGGACATTAGCTCCCTCACCTCAACTGACAATTTCTAGCTCCTCTTAGGGCAACAATACAGGTAATAACATCAAGAAGGAAATTTCAATACAAAACACAGAGATGATATGGATGTATTTAAATGAAAAGGAAGTATAGCCATTGTGACGTAGGCCCTGAAACCTTTGAGAATGCTTACATGACAGAACCCATGTCACAGTGGAAATGATTTCTTCAAATTTCATTATGTCCATTCATACGTATTTATAATGAGATACTAGAGCTCACGCATCGTATTTTGAGACAAATGTAAAAGTAATGTTTACGCAACCACTCATTGGTGGTGCCATCTGACTGCATGTATTAACTTGTTGAGTGGTGCTAATTCAGAGCTAATCCGAGATTGACATTTGCCTCAACGTATGATGGGCAAGCTATAATTGTAGTGAGGTCCGAGGGCATGAGTAGAGGCCATGCCAGATGAGTGCATTGGATCTAAGAACGCTACAATGAATCTGCATTTTTACATTAGCCCTATAAACTTTCAATGCTAAAAGTTGAGACATGGGTGCATAACTCATTAATACTCATTTGATATGAGTATGCTTAGCGATTTTGGAGTTTGAGTTCAGCAGAGATTCCTGCTTGGCCTGGAAGGCTAGGGTTGACAAAAAATCCTGCTGCAGATCATCAATAAGCAGGAGGGTGTCACCGATGCGTCTCTATTCTCAGCTCTAGTGGAGAAAGAAAAAACTTTAATTGCCATATGTATTGGCAAATTCTTTGTTTACAGTGCACAATCAGCATTGCTCTGCGGTAAAGCGCTTGCCTCGTCTTAAGAAGATCTACGGATTGCGTCCACATGAGAGTATTTTGAAAATGCCTTTAACACAGTTATAAATGCTACGTACGGCATTCAGGATTATGTTTCCCATAAAATCAGGGTGAGGGTTGCATTTTGACGCACATAATTGAAAAGGGCTCCTCTTGCTTCAGAGAGACTTCTGGAGCTAAGGTCTAGGGTCCTTGTAAAAGGGTATACAGGGACCATCCAATAATTTTGTCTTTCCTTATAGGAAAAAGCAGACTCCATAGACAAAAATTAATGTAACGTAGTGGATAATTGACATACTTTAGTATAAAGCTATACAAGCTTTTGATACCTCTCAGGGGACATCCATAAATTACGTAAGGCACTTTTCCCTATTTTTAGATCCCCATCCACCTCCTTGTGACACACCGAAAGGCATATACCACAGAGTGGAGAAGTGTAAATCAAGAGAAATTATCTAGAATTCCTTATGCTATGCATAAAAGAATAGAAATTGTACAGATTTTCCTTTAAAAAAAGGCGTTTAAGTTGATTTGAGTTTAAAAGATTCCGTCTTGGCCCGAAAGGCTGGGGTTGACAGAAAATCCTTCAGCGCGTGCAGAGTGCGGAGAGTCTGCAGAAAGGAAACACGGATGCTCCCGACTGCGTACCAGGCAATTTGCGATAGAAATTCGGCAGGATTTATTGTCAACCCTACCTTCGAAGCTCAGGAAGGAATCTCTGCTGAACGTTCGACTCAACGATTTTGGCTTCTATTCTGGCTGAGCAAGTGCCTGGCAGTAAATTGAAAGCGCAAATATGAGAAGGTATTTTACGATACACCATCGTCCGCCCCGTACATCCGATAGTAAGAAATACGAGGAAGAAATAATAAAGACAAATCGGAGATTCCTTAAAAACTAAAGAGCAGAAACATGAGAACTCACATTGTCCGAAGATTTGCGCCAGCAGCAGTGAGGTCATATGAATTCCACGGCACATTTTGAGCAAAAGCATTTGAACAGAAATCACAATAAGACCATTATTGAAAAAAGCAAATGAGTAATGATCACAAATGCGGCTACACGAACTTGTAAACACAGTGATACGAAATTAACGAAAAGCCCACGTGCGACGTAAACAAAACGCGTGCATATTTGGAGTATTCACGATTTCACGTGTCGTTCACCGGACAACGGAGCGATAACTAAACCCAAGGCGGATAAAGAATGGTGGTCGCATCTCGATTTTGGCTGCCATCTTGAAGATGTGTGACGTGCAGAGGGTATGGGCTTTTACCGCGCGATTTGAAATGTACCCGAAGTGTACCCGATGCCGCGGCGCGCGGCTCATACAATTTCCAAAAGGAATTATGAGTTTTCCTTCCTCTTGAAACGCTTTCAGATCGTATTCTGCGTTAATTTTTACTGAGAATTTGCAAGGAAGTCACAATCATTCTTATGTTTAATATTTCTGCCTGAAATTATTGTTTAAAGAAATGTACCCAATGGGTTCGTTCCTTCACGCACATGTGCAACTTTCTGACGAAACTGGACCTATCATTTTGGACTTACTATATTTTGGATTTTTGAGAGCTGTAATGCGGTAGTTTTTCCTTAGAAATTTGGAAAAAACGTCCAATCATTCTTCTCTTTGATGCTTCCAGGAGAAATTTGTACTTTCGGAAAGGGAGACAAGTTAGTGTGAAAATTGGAAAAACGGAAAGGGGGTCGGAGATTTCCGTAAAACGAAGGGAGGGCTCCCCCCAGACGAGGGGGTTCGGGGGATCCCCTGAAAAATTATATTGATAATCAGGTACCCATGGAGAAAATAAGAAATATTAAAAAAAAAAAAAAACCCTCTCACGAATTCCTTTGGACACGGTTTTTAAATTATTCACTGATAAAAATAGCAAAATAAAATACATCGCAGTAATTTCACTTTAAATTCGGGCAATCAACGCCAGGAATACTAACAATGAGAAGTGACTACAATACCTTGCAGCTTCAGAGTGCAGCCATGGACCAAGAGAATAAATATTTATTCTCTTGGTCCATGGTGCAGCGTAAGTCTGTAACCTCAAACCCCCTATATCCGCAGTTTGGTTTGTTTACAATCGTGACGTCAAGAGGGTACGACTACGAGATGCGACCACCATTCTTTAACCGCCTTGAACTAAACCATTCGCCTTGAACTAAACCCATAGAGTACATAGAGTCGTAATGTAAATGGGAGAGCTGGCGCCATGTTCTGCTCGACGAGTTCCGAGCCCGGTGTGCGCCGAGTTCGGGTCACTTTTTCGATACATTTTCGATCCAAAATGGCGGTGTGGAATACATGGTGATTCCTATCTCCTTCGTTGTTGTTGTTGTTGTCATCGGATGGCCGGGTACCCGTGTATCGCAAACAATCGATTATGTATCGAAAAAGTGACCCGGCGTCACACGGGAGTCTCGGAATTCGGGACATGGAAAATGCTTAAAAGTGGCGCCAGCTCTCCCAATTACATTACGACTCTATGTACTCTATGACTAAACCAGAACAAGGTAGATCGGGTAGATTTACACAGGTATGGACAGAACTTAACAACTGGCCTCTGATTGGCTCTCCAGCGGCCCCTTAACGTCAGCCATTTTGAATGTTTTGATTTTTGATTTATTTTGTTCGGTTTATCGTTTGTCAAAATTTTGTGGGATTTTTTGCACGATTTTGATAATGCGATACTAATTTTAACGTTTAAACGCACAAACGTTTGAATGTTAATTTGATTGTGATTAAATTAAAAAACGGACCCCTGAACCTACGTCACGTAGTCATGTGACACGTACTGGGGCTCATGGGAAATTTTCCACTTGTCCATACCTGTGTAAATCTACCTTAAAACCAGAAAGCAGAAAAACCAGAACCAGACCATACCTGGTGTTCGCAACTTCATCTTGAGGATTGTTTACCTTGTGACGTAGGTCGGTATAACTAGAGTCCCTTTATACTGAGAGTCAAGACAATTCAGCTCATGGATGTCACAAACGGGAATAAAGATTATAGAAATTGAACGTTTTTCGTAATCTTTGATCGGCCCATTCTCAAATGCCTTTCTCCGTTCCTCCTCTCGTTCCGTTTGTTCCTTGCCGAACCCGTAATTCCCTGGTCCATTCCAGATTATAATCTTTGCAATTGGTAAAAATGTAATCTTTATTCCCGTTTGTGACACTGTGGAGGCCTAAAATACGGGAACCAATCAGAAATGGATTCAAATTGTCTTGACTCTCAGTATAAAGGGACTCTAGGTATAACCACATGGGTGGAACGGAGGTATGCTTGTCTCTGGCTCTCTCCGATCCTTTCGGCCAAACCTCGGCTTTCGGCACCCGCCGCTAGAGCTATAGCGCGAAATTTGAATTTTAACAACTTTGCAGTCTCGGCCGACAGGGCATAGGGGAGAATACAGGGTGATCCAAAAGTCCCTTCTACCCCCCCCCCTAAATTTTTACCTAATGGAGGTAAACATTTGAAACTTGGGGGATAATCCTAGGTCAAAGGTAGCTACTTTTTGGCCCCCCTAAAATTTTCAGGGGGCCCCCCTTGGGAGGGGGGGGGAGAGGACAACGGCCCCCAACTTTTAATTTTCAAATGGGAAGACCCCCTTTGTGATAGCTCGTTCGAAAGAGCATAAGAAAAGAAAACTTTTCGCGCAAACCCGAAGTCAATTTCTCAAACCGTTTCAAAATGGCGGCCGGTTAAAGTTCAAAATGGCCGAAAATTCACACCGGTTATTTGTCGATGGATTTGCGCGAAAATCGGTATGTAGGGGTATTTGGACACGAGAAAAACGAATTTGGCGTTATATTTTCAAAAAAAAAAAAAAAATTTCCAAAATGACCGCCGTTAAAGTTTAAAATGGCCGAAAATTATCACCTCGGTATTTTCCTGATGGATTTGCCTAAAACTTGGAATTTGAGAGTATTTAGGCATAAGATAAACAAATTTGAACTTAGATTTCTAAAAAAATCAATTTTTGGTCATTTTGAACTTTAACCGGCGGCCATTTTGAAAATTTTGGTTTTTTTGAAAATCTAACGTCAAATTCGTTTTTCTCGCGTCAAAATAACCCATCTTGCTGATTTTTGCGCAAATCCATCGACAAATAACCGGTGTGAATTTTCGGCCATATTGAACTTTAACCGGCCGCCATTTGGAAACGGTTTGAGATATTGACTTCGGGTTTGCGCGAAAAGTTTTCTTTTTTTATGCTCTTTCGAACGAGCTATCACAAAGGGGGTTTTTCCATTTGAAAATTGATAGTTGTGGGCCGTTTCCCCCCCAAGGGGAACCCCTGAAAATTTTTGGGGGGCCAAAAAGTAGCTCCCTTTGACCTAGGATTATCCCCCAAGTTTCAAATCTTTACCTCAATTAGGTAAAAAGTTAGAGGGGGTGGAAGGGACTTTAGGATCACCCTGTATAAGAAGCCGTGTATTTTTGGGGAAAATAAGGGGCAAAAAAAATTTCAGCAGACAGGCCGTGCGCCACATAACTTTTACGTGATTTTTCGCGTAGAATCCAAATCTGAAGTCAAAACGTACCCTTGCCATTTGAAATTTTTGACTTACGGCCTTTCAGAGCCCTAAAATTTTTGGGGGGTCGTGGCTCCCAAAATTTTGGAGCAACAGGGGTCATATGCCACATCAATAAAAAGGTATTGACTTCTCCTCTCAGGAGATTTTTAGCTTTTGAAATTTGAATAATTTGGCCGCTTATAGCATCGAATTGAAAATTGCCCCAAAAAGGCCCCATAACTCCAAAAAATGGGGGTTTAGGGAAAAAATGCCTTGCACAAAATGTTCTTATTTTTTGCCGTAGATTTTGAATCCAAAGTCAAAACATACCCTTACTATTTGAAAATCGCCAGATAAGGGGGGGGGCAGGGGCACCCTCCCAATCCCCCCTCCCCTCCAAGAGATCATTTTGGGGGCCTAAAAATGTTTTCATTCGATTCTTTGGGGTCGATTTACCCGATGAAAGTTTTTGTTCCGAAGCACAATTTTCTGCAGTTTTCGAGAAAAAGATAATGGCCGGGTGGTGGATTTTCGCCCGTCAAAGAGTTCCTCCAAAGAAGGCTAAGCCTTTCACTGTTGGAGGATAATAATTCAGTTTCTAACTTGTTCGAAAGTGTCTCACCTGGCAAGGTTGCGACAGGCGGGTCGTCACGCTTCACTGCGCCGCGCCGTATTTACTTACCGAATGGATATTATCCGTGCTTAGCGCTCCATTCATGAGGTCGCCAGGTAGACAGAGTGTACAGGTATAAGGAGAACATCAAGAACATCTTTTCAGCTTTGATTTTCTCTCTCTCCCTCTCTCTCCCGTCCTCCTCTTTTCCTTTTATCTCTCTCCTTATCTCCTTTCTACTTCTATTTCTCTCTTGTCCGGCCTCCGGACCACACACCACCCGCCCTTATAATACACATCATTTGTCAATTGTCATTTGCCTCCTCCACCTTTCCGATATCTTGATGGTGTCAAACCATTGTTCTCCAATCGCCTCCCCCATTTAGGCGACTTATAACATTGTTGGTAAACGTGCGTGCCCGAGGTGTCAGTCCCAAAACAGCCCGCACAAATCTTGCATCTTCCGTCCTTTTTTTCGCTAACCTCGTCCAGGTCTGAATATGACAAAACACAGTATCAATCTAACCCTGTAGCGAGGGTGATACCTTATCCTGTGATACTACCGTGCGGATACCTATATTTTCAAGTTGGAGGTTAGTCGTCGACAGTCGACAGCCTCTCTGAAGAACCGTGGGAAAAGGATCAAGAATGAGGGGGAAGACTACCCTTCAGACCCTGTAGACTGGAATCCGGAACTATTTTGACGAGTTAGGAAAAATACCAAATGGCTGCGCCAATGTGTGGGTCTCAGAACTATAATGAAAAATAAATTGCATCGATTATCTACATCAATTCCTATTAAAATTAGAGCAGGCCGGTTCTAATCGTAATGAGTCAAAACGTAAAATAACGCATGTTTGGATGGAATAATTTGAAAAAGAAAAACAAATTAGCAAAATATATGGCAGTGGCTCACTTAATAAATTTAACATGACCCCTCAAAATGCCTGAATTTTGCGGATTTCCAGGGTAATTTTTACTTGTCCAGATGAGCTTCTCGTTTCTGTCAATAAATCCGGTTTCCTGTACCAAAAGCAAAA